TGTCCACTGTTCAGATTTATTGGCCTTCTGCGTCTTGTGAGGTGGTCGGCCTCTGACCTCCATTCAATGTGCATGCAGCACCAGGGACCTGAATTCCCTCAAGAAACACAAAGGATTGAGTGATAATGGGAAGCAGGAAAGAAAGCCAAAGGGAATTTAGCACTCTGGGGGTGGCAACATGATCAGAATGGGAACCAAGAACTAGTCTTTGCAATTGAAAGTAAAACCCTCCCAGTACTCAAGACCTTGGGCCTAGCATGATGAAGCTAAATTGAATCTTCTTTGAGAAAAATAAACAAGAGTTCTGTTTAGGGGCTGTCTGTGCTAGTTTGAGTGGATCCTGGTACTGAACTATTCAAAGAACAGGGTGGATGGTGATGGAGAGAAATGAATAGGCTGACTTCTTTTTCTTCCCTTGAAACTGGACCATTGATTGTGAAGTGTAAGAGGGCAGGCGCATCTGTTATGCAAGATATTCTAGTGTGTAAGTGGTTGAATGTTTGCTCAGAACTGGGCCTTGCCCCAGGACAGAGATGGGTGTTTGCATTCTAATCGCAACAGATGACTGCTGTGTGCTGTTACAAGAAAGACAACTGAGTGCCAGGGCAAAGCTTTGTCTTTGTATGTTGGCTCAATTGTTCTCACAACATGGCTTAGCTCGGAGGGGTGAGCTGCAGCATCAGGATGGAACATGTGCTTTGGATTCAGAGAATCTGAGTATAATCTCCAGCATCTCTGGTTTAAAGGATCAGGAATGAATGAAGAGTCAATTTAGTGTAGTGGTTAATGCACCAGGCTAGAAAGTGGGAAACTCTTTCTAGTCCACTTTACAAATTGTTGGAAGAAATGTCCATCTGGGTTCAGTTCCAAGTAGGGAAAAAGACACTGGATTCATGGAGACTGCTTGAAAAGATAGTTGGTGGAGAGAGAGAGAGAGAGAGAGAGAGAGAGAGAGAGAGAGAGAGAGAGGAGAGAGAGATTTATATCCTCTGTTGGGCTTTGAATTTGAGCTTGTATTTTGATTGGTTGTCAGACTCCCATGGGGCCATGCCGGGGTAAGTTTGTAGATTGTCTTTTGAGTCCTAGGCTTGTTTGAGCCTTGCTGGGTGATGCAATCTCCCTAGGTGCCATGTGGGAGTTCTGTTGCTAGATGGGTAGAAGGCTAATCCTATCTTTGTTGGATCCTGGATGAGGGCATTTGCTTATGAATAGCTATCTCTTTATCTCTAAAGTGCTGACATCTGCTGTGGGCTATTGAGGAGGGTGGGGGCTCTTAAGAGTGAGTCTGCTTCCTGCCTAAAAAACATGTTTCTCCATTTCTCATCCAGGGAAGTATCATATTCTGCCTTTTTAACATTTTCTAGAATATTTCATTCTTCTAAGAGAGGGGTGGGTGCTAACCTCCTACAGAACAAAGCCATTTGGGTGCCCCTGGGCCAGTCCCTCTCTCTCAGTCCTAGAAGGGAGGCAACGGCAAATGACTTCCAAAAATCCTTGCCAAAATATTGAAGGGATTTGTCCAGACAGGTGCCAGGAGTGAAGGTTGACTTGAAGGTGGGAATGAATGAATAGATAGATAGATAGATAGATAGATAGATAGATAGATAGATAGATAGATAGATAGATAGATAGATAGATCTCTGCCTGGGATCTTTTGTAGGTCAAGACTAGACAAGACAGTGAGCTGGATAGTTATACAGAAAATTAAAAAGTTTCTCTATACCTATTTGATTTATCCAAAGACTTGGGATATAAATAAATAAAAGCTTCCTTCACACCTATATGCACATACCTGCCATATTCACTTGAATTAAAGTCTAGCTGCTCCAACTATATTTGAATTCCAGAATAATTGCAGTTGGATGCCCACCACACATCGTACTGCAGGCTTACAATGCAGCATTTACATTCAGCCAAAGAGCATCAGTTATTGTCTAGTACTTTCTAATTTGACTCGCCACGATTTACAAACTCCACAATGTGGTTTTTTTTCTGTTTTGGGTTGCAGTGCTGTGTGAACACAATGTGGTCTGCAAACTATGGTTTATGGTTCAGTAAAAGTAGTAAATTTCAGTAAAACTATTTTGGTTGTAGTATTGCATACTACTGCTGTTTATCAAGTAGTGCATTGTATGACTCCAGACTGTTTTCATTTATTCAATAAATCAGAATTTGAGAAGGTATAGGCTAACATGAAGTGCTCCTTTTCTCCCATGAGGAGTTATAATAATAAACAGGCAGAGGGAAGAGGGATATGTGTGTGTAAAATGTTATAAATAAATGCAATTCCTGATCGTTCTCACAGGGAGGGACTACTCAGGGTACCGTCAGTCAAATTATGTCGACTGGCGACTCCCAGGGGGAGGGCCTTCTCTGTGGGGGCTCCAACCCTTTGGAATGAACTGCCCCTGGAGATACGGAATATCCCTGATCTCCGTGCTTTCCACCGTGCCCTCAAGACCCTGATGTTCCAACAGGCAGGGCTAAACATACAAACATGCGAATGATTTTTTAAATGTGATCTAATTCTGGGTTTTATTTAATTGACCAAACTAAGTAACAATTTTAATTAGCAATTTTATGATGTTTGTGTGTCTATATTTTTCTTGACTGTACACCGCCTTGAGTCCTACGGGAGAAAGGCGGTATAGAAATATAATAAATAAATAAAATAAATAATAAATCTATGATTGTTGGATTCATTACATTTTTCTTTATAGCATCTGAGTGGTCCTTTAAGCAGAATATGAAAAATGCAATTAGAGCTTGCAAACGCTGAATCTAATATAGCCTGTTGATAAAATAAAGGCTGTTTAAATGTGTCATTTGTCCTAGAGGAAGGTTGTTGTTTCAGAAAATGTATTTAACACGCAGCCTTTCCCCTCTTCCTAAAGGCAGTGGAATCCTGAAAGTACGATAGATGCATGAATCAAAGCATGCTCCAATTTTTGGCAAAATGTTTCTGGTCTCTTTTTAATGACCATATCATGCTTACAAATATCACAGAGGGAGGGGATAGCTATTTTTGAAGGGGGGGTGTATTAATCCTGATACTTCCTGTTCTTTAAAAAAAACCTCAATGTGTCTCATCCAGAATAATAGAGTTGGAAGGGATCTTGGAGGTCTTCTAATCCAACCCCCCTACTCAAGCAGGAAAACCTATTCCATTTCAGGCAAGTGACTGTCCAGTCTCTTCTTTAAAAAAAAAAACAACCCTCCAGTGTTGGAGCACCCACAACTCCTGGAGGCAAACCGTTCTACTGATTAATTGTTCTAACCGTTAAGAAATTCTACATACAGTAGCTGAGAAAAGGGAGAGTTCAGAGCATCTGAAAAACTAAACGCCCTTTTCCAAAAGTGGTGGCAATATTGACGGGAAAATATTGATGGGATTATGAGGAGGTCATATTGATATCTGCCATGTATACATATGTACAGTACAGTTGGTTCTATAAGCAATCATGTACTGCAAAGAAGTACTGCAAAGCTAAGTCTATGCATCCTACCAAAGCATAATGTTGCTTGATTGGTCGCTGCTTGGTGGGTGCCATGTGTAGGGGTGTATCTGCCATTTGCAAACAATGGCTTTTGGCAGGCCGAGGGTCTGCCCCGTGGAAGCAATGGAACAGCCTCTAAATATACAGTGTATGCATTGGGGATAAGGGAGGGCAGAGGGCATTGTGACATCATGCTGATGATTTGAATGATGGATTTTCTATTGGTCATGTCTGCGTGTGATGTCATGGTGTCATCGACCAGATCGCTGTACTCAGAAACCTTTAAAAAAAGTTTCTAAATGATGTTTAACATGACCTTTCAAAGTCTATGAGGGAAAATAGTTGCATTGTTGTTGTTAGTTGCAAAGTCGTGTCTGACCCATCGCGACCCCATGGACAATGTTCCTCCAGGCCTTCCTTTCCTCCACCATCCTCTGGAGTCCATTTAAGCCCATGCCTACTGCTTCAGTGACTCCATCCAGCCACCTCATTCTCTGTCGTCCCGTTCTTCTTTTGCCCTCAATTGTTCCCAGCATTAGGCTCTTTTCCAGTGAGTCCTTCCTTCTCATTAGGTGGCCAAAGTATTTGAGTCTCATTTCAAGATCTGGCTTTCTAAAGAGCAGTCAGGGTTGATCTCTAGAACTGACCAGTTTGATCGCCTTGCAGTCCAAGGGACTCGCAGGAGTCTTCTCCTGCACCATATAGCTGCATTAATTATAATGAAATATAACATGGAAATTAAATGGAATTTAATCTTGCTTGGTGTCAACCACTATTTTCTAGAGTGTAGGTTTGGTACATCACTGAAGCTTTTGATCAAGGAAAAGTATTCTTTGATTTACGATGTGGCATAGGGTGAGGATCCGATCTGCTGTGACTTTTTTAGCCAACTATGGTGAAGAGAATAATGGCTCTGTATTGCCATGGATTCAATCTGATGTGCTGAATTTTTTAAAGAGTTCTTTTACTAGTTTGCAGAATAATGACAGAGGTTAGCACCGAGTCTGTGGTGTAATACAAAATATCCATTTTAGACCCTGAAATATCTGTTCAAATATTCCACAGCAGTCAGAATTAGATCAAGTCCCTTTGTTTTCCAAATTGGAAAATGCAGCAATATGATGGCGAATTGGAAAAATGTCTGTGACAAAAAACAAAAGAACGTGATCATATAACGATTCTTCATCTTAACTCTTTGGTGGAATAAATGCTTTGCAGTCCTTTGCATTTTCTATCCAAAGAATATTTCCTTCCTTCCTTCCTTCCTTCCTTCCTTCCTTCCTTCCTTCCTTCAATTTACAGTATGCAGTATATATATAAAATTCTTGGAAGATCCTTCCTGAAACCTTGAAAAGCAATAACTGGTTTAATGAACCAAGAATCCAACTGAATGTAGGTAGCTCCATGTATTCAGATACCCTAATTCTGCAAACAGAGTTCAATGTTTTCTCCATTTCCTGCCTAATCGTTTGATGCATTTATTTTTGTTTGCTTAATTTCTAGAGCCAGCATCTATTAACCACGAATCATGTCAGTGAAACTAACCTTTGTCTCCCCTGCTGATGGGGGAAGAATCACCAGGAGCCGTTCCTTCGCTGGATTTAGCAGCACACAAAGCCGGATGTTGGCGTAAGCTTTATATGCAACAAACCACTTTCTAGCCTCTGTTTCTCTGGTTTAGATATTATGTGTTGTATGTGCAGGACTGACTGACTGACTGTGTTTGTGTTTTAAAGATTAATATATAATGATATATGGGACCAATACACTGACATGAGAATTATGTTACGGGCTAATTCTATTGACTGCCAACTGCCAGCAGTTCGAGTCTCACTGGCTCAAAGTTGAAATTAGCTTTCCATCCTTCTGATGTCAGTAAAACAAGGGCCCAGATTGTTGGGGGCAACTTGGTGATATATCTGTAAACCGCTTAGAGAAGGGGGGTCAAACTTGCAGCCCGCGGGCCAGATGCGTCACACGCAGGCCACGCCCATCTAGATCTGTGAAGGGAAAAATGTCACGATACATCACGTGACGGCATCATGACGCGGCAAGTTTGATACCTGTGGCTTGGAGGGTGCTGTAAAGAGGTATAAAATCTAAATGCTATTGCTATTATGTGGAAATAGCATCAGTGGATGAACGCAAGCAAAAGTAAATCTACATGCAAAGGAGGCTTGACTGACTGATTGATGGTTGGATGTAGTTGTTGTTCATGGATTTTTGCCCTTCAAGTATGAGACTCAGACTGGTTTACAAGTCTACTATACATAGGTAGAAGTGAAATCTATTCCAAAAATTACACGAGGCATTTGCAACACTATAACAGCTAGTTCCAGTTAAGTCCTGTATTGTTTAGACAGTTTATTAAACAAACAGTGATATTTATGTAATACACTGAATATTAAATCATGATTTATAAATCTTAATGGCTGTGCTTGTTTAACATACTAAGCCAAAGTCAAGCAAACCATACTTGGTTTAGCATAACTGACCTTGAACACACAGTCCTGCATAAATTAAAGTGCTTTAATCTAGACCTAAGATAAAGAAACCAGGATATGATCTGGAAGAAGCAGCTACAGTAAGGAAGGAAATACAATTGTCACATGTAAATTAGTTCAGATGGATAAGGAAGGTCTCTAAAGCAGAAGTGGGTTTCAGCAGGTTCTGACCAGTTCTGGAGAACCGGTAGTGGAAATTTTGAGTAGTTCGGAGAACCGGTAGTAAAAATTCTGACTGACCCCACCCCCATTTATTCCCTGCTTCCCAAGTCCCAGCTGATCGGGAGGAAATGGAGATTTTGCAGTAATCTTCCCCTGGAGTGGGGTGGGAATGGAGATTTTACAGTATCCTTCCCCTGCCACGCCCACCAAGCCACGCCCACCAAGCCACACCCACAGAACCAGTAGTAAAAATTTTTGAAACCCACCGCTGCTCTAAAGGTATCTTAAATATGCTTACAGGGGCATCTTATGGGAGATTCAGAAGAGTAAAAATGTTGGCTACCATCATGCAACACACTGTCAGCATTCCAGAAAGTCCCCAACTGCAAGTATAAACTCCGAGACAGGCATTTTCTCAAAGTTCCCATTTATTAGAGTAGGTATATTGGCACATCTGGGAAAACCCAAATCTGAGTGTTTCAGGTTTTCCTTCAGTAAATCAAAACCACAAATCCAGCCCCTTCATCCATCAGTCTGTCACATGATCCAATCATCATCCATCCCAACTTGAGCTATCCCTGCAACCACTCCTCCTCTAGATGCATAAACACCATGACCTTGGCCGAAGGGAAGAATGCTATTATGTCTAACTACATTCACTCTCCTAAATCCTCCCTCCTACTTTCCCAGGCGCATGGAGTTGGCAGCGTGGAAGCTTCTGGTGCTAATATGGCTTCCATAGTTGACACACAGTTTAAAAAGGGATGGGGCTTTGATTGTGTGATCATGGCTGCCATTTTGACACCCCCCTATGAATATCTATTTTCCTTCCTTCCTTCCTTCCTTCCTTCCTTCCTTCCTTCCTTCCTTCCCATCTCAAAACACATGACTCTGGGTGCCATACAACCAGTGGTGGGTTCCTCCCGGTTCCTCCTGGTTCCGCCGAACCGGTAGCGGTGACAATATGATGTCACCGAACCGGTTCTGCCCACTCCACCCACCCCGCCCACCCCCGCGTTATTCTTACCTTTTATTTGGCCCCACCCCCAATCTATTGCTGCCTCCTGAGTCCCAGATGATGGGCTATAAGGAAAAAAAATTGTTTAAACTCTTGCCGCGGGGCTTCAAAGGGCTGCCCTATAGCTGATCAGTGGTAAAAGGCAGTTTGGTGGTAGCTCGGTGCCTCCAAAAACAAATGAGTAGACCGGTGCCTGCAAAAATAAATGGGTAGACCAGTGCCTGCAAAAATACATGAGTAGACTGGTGCCTGCAAAAATAAATGGGTAGACCAGTGCCTGCAAAAATACATGAGTAGACTGGTGCCTGCAAAAATAAATGGGTAGACCAGTGCCTGCAAAAATACATGAGTAGACTGGTGCCTGCAAAAATAAATGGGTAGACCAGTACAGCTCAGCAAGCAGTTAAAAGCCTGGTAGACCAGTTCCTCTGCTAAATCCTAAAGAATTGTCACATGACCATCAAGCCACGCCTACAAAATAAGCCACACCCACAGAACCGGTAGTAAAAAATTTTAGAACCCACCCCTGCGTACAACAGTTAAAAAGCAAAACAAATACAATATGAAAACATACAAATATCAAAAAACATACAAACCATATAAGATAAACAGCAACCAAGTTATAAAAGCAACTAGCAACTTTCAAAATAGCCAAAGCACAATTTCCACTGCAGACCAGTGTGGGACCTATTTCAAACACATCCATATAATTATACATGGATTTCCACTTTCATTATAAAACCTAGACAACATCAAAGACATTAGTTGCCTGCAAGACATTTAAGTGAAGTCTGGTGGATTTTACTCTGTAAGGGGGGTAAAAAAAAAAACACAACCAAGCAAGCAATTGAATAAACAGGCTAGAGGCCGACATACATAGTGGGAGTTCTGAGAACGAATGACGATGGGAAAGGAGTCAAACAGATGTTCCTCCGACTAAATCACCTCCAACCGGGTAAGAATGCTTGTAGGGGGAAAAAAAGTTTACTTTCCCCTGAAGGTTATTTAGTTACTTTCAGCTGTAAAGCATTAACAAAAACAACAATCAAATCTTTATGCATTTTTTTAGAGGGATGGACAGAAAATAAACATCCAAGTACTGTACCAGTTAACTAGAAAAGCAGTTTCACTGGCATTACTATGATGGGTTAATATTTCCAGAAAACAGATGTGATCGTTATTGGCCATTTCAGCATAAGTTTTGTGCTTGCACCTCTTAGATGAAATCATCTGGATAATACTTAGAAGTTTACCAAAAGATAGCTTTTTGCTCGCATCTAGGTGAGAGGAAAGCAATTTTAATAGCCTTAAATTAAGCCACAATTTTTAAAGTCACCTTCATTGATTGGAGAGCCAATTTAGTGCGATGATTAAAGCTCAAAAGTGGGAGATCATCAAGTCCTGCTTGAGCACAAAGCCACCTGGGTAACCTTGGGCCTGTCACGCTCTCTTTCAGCCCTAGGAAGCAGGTAATGGCAAGCTACTTCTGAAATCTTGCTAAGAAAACTGAGGAACTTATCCAGGCAATTGCAAGGAGTCAACTGAGTTGAAGGCACACCCACCCACAGTGGTGGGTTTCAAAATTTTTTTACTACTCGTTCTGTGGGTGTGGCTTAGTGGGCGTGGCATGGCTTGGTGAGCGTGGCATGGCTTGGTGGGCATGGCTTGGTGAGCATGGCATGGGAAGGATACTGTAAAATCTCCATTCCCACCCCACTCCAGGGGAAGATTACTGCAAAATCCCCATTTCCTCCTGATCAGCTGGGACTCAGGAGGCAGAGAATAGATGGGCGTGGGGCCAGACAGAGGTGGTATTTACCGGTTCTCCGAACTACTCAAAATTTCTGCTACCGGTTCTCCAGAACTGGTCAGAACCTGCTGAAACCCACCTTTGTTATAGAACAAGCCATAAAATCTGGATTCACATATCCCAGTAAGTTGTTTGTTCAATCAACCTTGATAAAATCAATGTGTGAACTTAGCCATTGTGTATATTTCAGTTCTCTGTCCTGCCCAAAAAAAATTGCAAAAGGAAACCTGCTTTTCTGGAAGTGAAACTTATTTTGAATAAGCATAGCTAAGATTGGGCCACCGAACTCTTCTTTTCTGTAGCCTCATAGTGTTTTCCAGCTGTGTGGATTCTAGCAGCTATGCGTTGATTAACCAATAAGAATGTGATTATAGTAAGACAACCTATTGACTTCAGAGAGGAGTGATAAACTTTTGAACAAGCAAATATAGGGTTAAAAAGAAAATTAGCCATAGTCACAAGTAACTGAGGGACAACTTTTCTAAGAAAATCTTAGACTGTCACTATTATTTATATCCAGGTAGGTGAAGAATATTCAGCTGTGTATTTTTCTGTCTGTTTTATTGAGTAAGAATTGGGATGTAGAGGAAGATAATTGAGATTTAAGTTAGTTTGTTTCCTCAAGTTGGATTTTCACATGGTTTTTGAATCAGTACAGCTTGTTCTGTGCTCTGTTTTAAAGGGTAAAAAAGTAATTAATTTATCAGAGAGGGCAGAAACTTAAAGAGCCAAATACTCTGTAGGAGTTATAAATCAAAAGGAAGATGGCTAAGTATTTAAATAAATTTGAGCTGATACTGTGTTCCTTTAAAAAAAAATAACTGGAAAAAGAGTGAAAGAGCTGCTCTTTTAAGCAAGAAGTTTATTTTTTAACAAAAAAGTGATTTGCTACCTTGATTTAATGTATTTCCAACTAGATATGACTGTTTGTTTGTTTTATTTGTTTGTTTTGTTTGTTTGTTTTATTAGATTTATATACCGCCCTACTCCCGAAGGACTCAGGGCGGTGAACAGGCACAAAATAAAATACATAGATACAAAAGTTAAAAACATAATTAAAACCAGATTAAATAATTTAGCCCGAGACAATTAAAAATCCCAATAATTTAAAACAGATTAAAATTTCGATTTAAAAGAATTTTGGAAGAATTTACTTTGGAAGTATTTATTGTGACTTATTTATTTGTTAGAATTATCACCCATCTTTAAACCAAGAGTTTAGAGCAGCTTGCATAGGACTCCTTCTTCCATATTATTCCACAACAAAAAGCTTGTGAGTAGATTGGGCCAAAGTTACTCCATAAACTATCTGTGGCTGAAGAAACCTAGATCTCTCCAGTGCCAGTCCAACGCCTTATAAACTATACAGTGTTTCTCAACCTTGGCAGTTTGAAGATGTGTGGATTTCAACTCCCAGAATTCCCCAGCCAGCATAGAATTCTGGGAGTTGAAGTCCACACATCTTCAAACTGTCAAGGTTGAGATACATCACAGCTCTTAACTAAGTCACACATTAGGGCTTATTCTCAAGAAAGTATATATAATAATTTCTTACCTACTTATCTATGTTGGCTTTGTACCAACACCTGGTTGGCCACACCTGTTTTGCAAGGGTGCCCATAATATGACCTCAACATTCCAGATGTGACCAGTGGCCTGATCCCAGATTAAGGCAGGGCTTTGTTATAAAGCAAATTTAAAAAGTATTAGAAAATCAAATACTTTTTGCTTTCAAGAAACAATTTTGAATATTCCTTTCAAGAAACAATCCTGTATATTCCCTTCAAGAACCAATTTTGAATATTCCCTTCAAGAACCAATATTGAATATTCCCTTCTAAGAGAATAAGAAATAGTAAAATAAACGGAGCAAAATAAATATACTGACAATGATGTTCCATAAATAAAAATGAAACTATTATTAATAAAGTATTTTCTAAAAAGGTTTTAGAAAACAAGAAGGGTAAAATTTAATATGGGGAGCCCATGACTTATAACCATTCATTTAGTGATCATTTGAATTTACAATGGTACTGAAAAAATGACTTCTGGCTGTTTTTGCACTTATGACAGTTACAGTATCCCCCCCACCCCGCCATGGTCATCTGATCAAAATTTGAATGCTTGGTAACTGGCATGTATTTATGACAGTTGCACTGTCTGGGGTCATGTGATCACTGTTTGTAACTTTCCCAGCCAACTTCCTACAAGAAAAGTCAATGAGGGAAGTCTAATTCATTTAACAACTTCATGATTCACTTAACACTTATGGCAAAAAGGCCATAAAACAGGGCAAAACTCACTTAACAACTGTCTTGCTTAGCAACAGAAATTTTGGGCTCAATTGTGGTCATACATCGAGGACTACCTGTATCTGAACCATTCAGGATAACCCAATAACAGTTAATGGCTCCTTGTGTAACTAATTTGAATATTGCTAACGTGTTTCCCCGAAAATAAGACCCTGTCTTATATTTTTTTGAACCTCGAAATAAGTGCTTGGCCTTATTTTTGGGGAGGTCTTATTATTTTTGGGCGTGTGGAGCAAGATGGGGCTCCTCTTGTTATCTTACCTGATTTCCAGCTCTGCGCTTAAATATTTTCGGGGAGGGCTTATTTTCAGGGGGAGGCTTATTTCAGTGGATGCGCTCAAAAGCCCGATTGGGCTTATTATCAGGGGATGTCTTATTTTCGGGGAAACAGGAGAGTAATATTCTTGGAAATAAGCAATAGGCACGAAGTAGTGTTATGCATATCACATGGCCTGTAGCAGCAGAAAACAGATTGTGTTGGAAAATATTCACAATCCACATATAACTGCTTTTATCTTTCCTAGTTCTCACCTGTTTATTGGAGCTGTCTGATTCAATGTGCTGATAGAAGTGAAATACTATATTTAAGACTTTTAAAAATGGTGCCATTACAGAGAAATATTTTCATTTGCCAAGTAAAATGTTAGTTTAAAGTTTAAACATACATCTGTTCAGTATAACCTAAAAAAGAAACCCTGGTGGCTTTGCAATAAATTGGCTTTTTATTTCCACAGATACCAATTTATCACTGCAAGTTTGGGCAATGTGTTTTTTATTGTTCTCTGGTGGATAACATGTGTCTTGCCACTGCTTTCCTCCAGCCTGTTCTCTTCTTCCACTTCCAATTTTAGTCCACAGCTGTGTTATTTCTTGGCAATCTTTGGTCCAAGGATTCATCAGGTGTGAATTTGCTTAACTGTTCAGAGATTAGTCAAGGTCAGCTAGTTGTGCACCTGCTGTGATTTTAGCTTGTCTGGGGTGGGGTGTGTGTGAGATGGCTCAGCAGTTGAAGATGCTGAGTTTGTCAGCTGGAAAACTGACAGCCCAGGTTTGAGACCCGAGCTCTGTGCAATGGAGCGAGTTTCTGTTATTTGCCCCAGTTCCTGCCCACCTGGCCGTTTGAAAGCAGGCAAATGTGAGTAGATAAATAGGTACCACTTCAGTGGGAAAGTAACAGCATTCTGTGCACCTCAAAGTATATTATGCTGGCCACATGACCACAGAAATATCTTCAGACAATGCTGGCTTCCTCAGCATCCTGCCCTAGAGTTAGATACGACTGGACCGGAAACCTTTACCTATTACTTAGACATAAATGCTAGTAACTGTCCACTGACTTCCTATCACTCATCATAGAATGAGTATGGGAAGTGTTTGGATGATATGTCTGTGAAGATTCTCAGTCATCCAGGTCGTGGTTATCCCAAAGGTGCATTTTCCAAAAGGACAACTGGACTTTCATTTTCTTTGAAAATGTTTCACTTCTCATCCAAGAATCTTCTTCAGTTCTGTTTGGATGATAAGAGTTAGGTCTTTGTCTGGAATACCTTACACACCAACACATACATGAGTAAGCTCTACTGAATGTGGGAAGACTCGAGTTCTGGGTCTGTGGAGAAGTCAACAAGGTCAAAATGATGTCTGTGACCATGTCATCAAAGCGCCTCTCCTATTATACATAGATCCACTGGTGGGTTCCTCCTGGTTTGGCCCGGTTCTCCCGAGCCAGTAGCGGTGACAATATGATGTCACCGAACCAGTTCTTCCCCCCACCCCCCACCCCCCGCATTATTCTTACCTTTTATTTGGCCTCACCCCCAATCTATTGCTGCCTACTGAGTCCCAGCTGATGGCTAGAGGGAAAAAATCTGTTTAAACTCTTGCCGTGGGGCTTCAAAGGGCCGCCCTACAGCTGATCAGTGTTAAAAGAAAACAAATTAGTAGACCAGTGCCTGCAAAAATACATGAGTAGATCAGTGCCTGCAAAAATACATGAGTAGATCAGTGCCTGCAAAAATAAATGGGTAGACCAGTGCCTGCAAAAAATAAATGGGTAGATCGGTACAGCTCTGCAAGCAGTTAAAAGCCTGGTAGACCAGTACCTCTCCTAAATCCTAAATAATTGTCACATGACCATTAAGCCACGCCCACAAAATAAGCCACGCCCACAGAACCAGTAGTTAAAAATTTTAGAACCCACCCCTGCATAGATCACTTGTCCAGAATTTAGACAGGCAGGGCTTTGCTCACAGCTATGGCCATTGTGTTTCTCATGAACATTTATTAATTGGGATTTGACTCATTTTACAACCACTTATAAAGGAAACAAACAAATTGGTGAGTTACCTCTAATGCGATCCTTTCACTGTTCACTGATCCTTTCGCTGTTTTTACAGAAAATCTCTCGGCAAAGGATCCACAAGATCCAAAATGTCAGTAAAATCTGCCAAGATGTATTCGTCCCTCCAGAAAGGGGCCGTCGTCTGTGATCCCAAACCGCAACAAGTAAAGAAGATTTTTGAAGCTTTGAAGAAAGGGCTTAAGTAAGAACCATTTCCAAAACCAATCCTATGTATTTGGGGGAAATTGCAATATTTTGTTATGGTTTAGTCCAGAGGTCTTCAAACTTGGCTTTAAGACTTGTGGACTTCAACTCCCAGAATTCTCCAGCCAGTTTTGCTGGCTGGAGATGAAAGTTGAAGTTCACAAGTTATGCTGGCTGGAGAATTCTGGGAGTTGAAGTCCACAAGTTTTAAAGCTGCCAAGTTTGAAGACCTCTGGTTTAGTTTTATTTAATTTGACCAAAAAAAGCTGAGAATAAGTAAATGAATTTCAATAACGGGGTCACTTCTGATCTGTATAGTCAGTGAAATTGCTTGACACAACTTGATTCCCAAAAAATTAAAACATCCAAAAAGACTTTCACAAAAGGAGGGTGCTTTAGTTCAGGGGTCCCCAACCTCATTCAGAACTGGGCTGCAGAAGCGGCAGATGAGTGTGTACATGCAGCTCCATTTGTACACGCAGCAGGGAGGTGATCACGCACATGCATCCCCATTAGCGCAAGCGGTGGGCATATGTGTCCGCTGCTTGAACAAATGGAGCTGCATGCATGCACTCACCCACTGCTCGCGCAGAACTAGTCCCTCTCTTTCCCCCTGCCAAAAAGGTTGGAGACCACTGCTTTAGCTCTATTCCAGGGGTGTCAAACTTGATTTCATTGATGGCTGCATCAGGGTTGTATTTGACCTCGGGGGGGTGGGTGGGGTTTGAGGGGGCATGGCCAGCTCAACATCACTCATGTTGGGGGTGCCTGTGGTGGGCCGAGCACTCTGCCAATGAAAATGGGCTCCTGTGCTCTGTTTTTGGCTGCGACGGTCTCCTGCAACCCTCTGCCAGCAAAAATGGAGCTCTGTTTTCACAGGCAGACGCACTGTGGGCTGATCCTTGACTGTTTCCAGTGTGGCCCCACAGGCCAGATCTTTGAGGAGCTGCCACAGAGAGGAGGGGGTCACACTATTTTCCAAACCACCTGAAGGCCAGACAAGGAATAATGGATGGAAACTGACCAAGGAGAGATTCAACCTGGAAATAAGGAGGAACTTTCTGACAGTGAGAGCAATTAACCAATGGAATAGCTTGCCTTCAGAAGTTGTGGGAACTTCATCACTGGAAGCTTTCAAGAAGAGACTGGACTGCCATTTGTCAGAAATGGTGTAGGGTCTCCTTGAGCAGGGGGTTGGACTAGATGACCTATAAGGTCCCTTCCAACTCTGTTAATCTGTTAATCTAAGAAGGCCTTAAATTTGACACCCCTGTTCTATGCCAACAAAAAACAAGCTATCGGCATTGATTGTCCAATTTATTTGCCAATAATCAGATGCACTCTTGTGGCATCTGCTGTGTGCGGTAGTGTCGTGCTGGAAACTTTACCTCACAGCAGAATTCATTGCAGAGATGCAAAGGTGGCCTTGAGCAGTGATATCACTGAGGAGCAAGTTTTACCATTTTTTGTTAGGTCTTGATATGGACACCCTAATGAGATTGTCCAGACAATAGATCTTAATTCCATGTGGTGTGTTTGTGCATCTAACAACAAATGCCAAATTTGACTCAGCATACACCTCCATGGATGTTACATTAAATAATATAGTATAATTTGCTCTATTGCAGTGATTATTTATTTCGGATTCAGACTCGTAGCTTCCCATTTATGATTTTTCTGATTTTTTGGGGGTGGGGTAGGGGGAAGGAATTGCCCTAGTTCCATGGAAACTGGAGACTCAGATCTTAATGTGAGGGAAGGCTGAACTTCGCTAGCTCTCTTATGCTTCTACCAGAAGCACCGAAGACGCTTGGTTGCAGGGCCTCCATTTTGTAGGCACTTTTGTATTTCAGTTCTGTCTCCAGAGACTGGAAGGAAAGTTAACCAATGCTTAACCTTTTCTGCTTTGGATCACATGCTACACCATGGGTAAGCTAAGTAAATTAAAAGCAAACCATGGTTACTAATCATAATCAAGTAATACTTTACAAATACCTTCTCATATTTCTCATATCAAATAATCTTCTCATCGTTCCCACCACCCATCTCCTTCCACTTATGACTGTATGACTGTAATTTTGTTGCTTGTGTCCTTACAATTTATATTGATATTGTTTTGTGATTGCTTATTTGTACCCTATGACTATCATTAAGTGTTGTACCTTATGATTCTTGATGAACGTATCTTTTCTTTTATGTACACTGAGAGCATATGCACCAAGAGAAATTCCTTGTGTGTCCAATCACACTTGGCCAATAAAAAATTCTATTCTATTCTATTCTATTCTATTCTATTCTATTCTATTCTATCTATTCTATTCTATTATTCTATTCTATTCTATTCTATTCTATTCTATTCTATTCTATTCTATAAATCTGCCATAATCATAGTTCAACCTATAAGATCAGTAGTGGGCAGCTGTTGTGAAGAAGTCCTATTTCATATAGATTATCATTGATAGATTAGGTGCCATCAGGATGTTGTCAACTTTTAATGACCACATAGATTTTTCTCCATGACAATATGCCTCTAACCTGAACTTTGGGCCTTCCAATTGTCATGTAACTGAGTACCGGATATCCATCTTACTGCTGGTCATCCTTTTCTTTATTTGCCTTCCACCTTTCTCCAGATAAGGGACTTTTCCAAAGACCTGAGTCTTCATATAATGTGTCTGACATAGGGATAATTTGAGTCTGGTCAATTGTGCCTCAAGAGAGAATTCTGGTTGATTTATTCAATGATCCATTGGTTTTAATTTCTTGGCTGTCTTCCGTATTCTCAAGAATCTTCTCTAAACCAAAGTTCAAAAATGTCAATACCCTTGTTTTTAAAAAAGGCATGGAATAGCTTTGTTAAAGAAAGGAATTTTAACAAACATCTGTCAGTATCTTTATATCAAATCAGGGTGTAGCCACACTTGGAACACGGCACTTAATTCTACATAGAAAACAAGCAGATGTCTTCTTTCCTACTGTATATCAAATAGATGTCAAGCTATCTTTCATTCCTAAATAAATCACTAATGGAATGTTAAAACATTTGGGAAAAGTCATTCTTTGGATGCAGGTAGCTACTTCATTTATATTAGCTGGCACATTTATGGCAAGGAAATTTTTTCAACTCAATAAAATTTAAGACTGGATTTTGGACATCTATGTGCAGAAATATTTAAATTAGACTTAGAGATTACTGTACAGTTTTGGTAAAAGATCAAATGGCTGAATTTTAGAGGAACAATGGGCCTCAGGTGGATGGGTGGGACAGCAGTGGTTAGGGGAAAAATCCCTCAAATAAGTTGGAAGAAGCATACACTGCTTAATATAAACACAATGAGCTGCTCAGATTTTGCATCTTGTATAATGCTGACTGTATCCTTTTTAAATACATGAGGAGAAAATTAAGTTATTTGTGTCTGGTCTAAATTAACCCACAAACTTATAGGAATGTAAGCCAATGGAGTTTTATCCTTGTGGGCTGCTGGAGTTTGTGTCTGCAACTATTCTACTGATGTACATATGTGTCTATATATGTATTTCTGGTGATAGTTAGTATGTGTCTGGACCAACACAGAGTTAAGGGACCAAAATAAACAGGATAAGGCTCTACTGCAAAGCAGTAAATAAACAGATTGGTATCTCCTGCACACATCTGAAAACTAAACTACTCTCAAGCTAAGATCCCATTGTGTTTAATGGAAGTGTGGCAAGAGATTAGAAAATGTATTTTCCCCCCCTGACCTCTGAAAATGGATCTGGTTTATATCTAACTTTTCCCTTTAGTGAATATCTGGAAATGCATCAAACAGAGCTGGATTATCTATCAGAGTGCCACCGAGACAGAAGAAGAAATTCCAGATTGGTAAGAAGCTTCTTTTTATTGAATTTAATATTAAGATGAAACTGAACGGGGTCACACATAGGTTGGCTTAATCATCTAAACCAGTCATCTGGACTTTCACATTATGCTAAATCACTAGGTATTATGGGCATAATCAAGAAATTATCATTTAAAACGTTTATTGAGTTTGCCAGAAAAGTTCGTTACGGTGAAATTATTAGGGCATCTGTATTCCCTTTTCATTAAATGCACTTTATGCTGTTTTAGCTTTTTGGACTCCAGTTTGCACAATTGCACTATTGATTTCCCAGTGGGCTGTTTTGAACAGTAGAGAAGGGCCTGAATAGAATGTCCATTGGCCCCCTTCTCACTGCATTTAGTGTTACTATAATTTCTCTTTTGTCCATTGCAATCAATGTTTGATAGGGTTATTCCTCCCATGTCCACCTCTGGGAAAAAAAATACTTTCCCAAAAATATTTTTATAACAAAGAGATAGTTAGACCTTTAGTTTCTCCTGTGTGCAGTTTTCTTTTATGAAACCCTGAGACACAGTTATTGTAATCTGGTGTGAAATGCACATATTTGGCACAGAAGGCTCCTCAGTTCATGCATTCAGATAGAGGAAATAAATGAGACTCTTAGTCCTTTTGCACAGAAACTCTGCTTTGGCTTATCCAAAGCTTTCTTCATTTCAGTAGAACAATTGGAAGAAAGTTGTTTTATTGTTTCTGTTAAGATAATTGAGAGAAGAAAATCCTTCCCAATGTATTGCAAATTACCTTAAAACTCATGGCAGATTTCAAATGTTTTTTTTTTTCTGTTCATCCCAGTTGCAGTTTACCTTCTGAATAGCAAAGAGCAATGGAGTTTAATTCTTTTAACTAGGTTTTTCACATCAGATCCTCATTAGGTTGGCTTCTGAGAGTTGCTGGATAATATGTCACAAAACTGTCAAAAGTGGATTTTTGGCTACCAAAACGGTTCCTAACTACCCTGCTGTGAATAACATAGCAATAGCGCCTAGACTTATATACCACTTCACAGTGCTTTACAGCCCTTCCTAAGTGATTTACAGAGTCAGCATATTGCCCCCAACAATCTGGGTCCTCATTTTACTCACCTCGGAAGGATGGAAGACTGAGCCAATCTTGAGTCAATGGGAATCGAACTGCCAAAATGCTGGCAGTCATCAGTCATCAGAATTAGTCTGCAGTACTGCATTCTACTGACAGATTTTATTTTCCTGTGCTCCAAGATCACCGCAGATGGGGACTGCAGCCAAGAAATTAAAAGACATTTGCTCCCGGGGAGGAAAGCTATGGCAAATCTAGACAGCATACTAAAAAGCAGAGACATCACCCTGCCAACAAAAGTGTGTATAGTCAAGGCTATGGTTTTCCCAGTTGCAATGTACGGCTGTGAAAGTTGGACCATAAGAAAGACTGAGCGCCAAAGAATGGAGGCCTTTGAATTATGGTGCTGGAGAAGACTCCTGCGAGTCCCTTGGACTGCAAGGCAATCAAACTGGTCGGTCCTAGAGGAGATCAACCCTGACTGCTCTTTAGAAGGCCAGATCCTGAAGATGAAACTCAAATACTTTGGCCACCTAATGTGAAGTAAGGACTCATTGGAGAAGAGCCTAATGCAGGAAAAGATTGAGGGCAAAAGAAGAAGAGGACGACAGAGAATGAGGTGGCTGAAGCAGTAGGTGTGAGCTTAAATGGACTCCGGGCAGGGGTGAAATGTAAAATTTGTTACTACCGGTTCTGTGGGTGTGTCTTGGTGGGGTGAGTGGTGGTAATGTGACTGGGTGGGCATGGCCAACTTTTTTTTTTTTTAACTTTTCAAAGCATTTTTTCTAATGCTTTGAAAAGCCTCTGCCGATCAGGCAACTCAGCTGGGATCGTCAGAGACTTTTCAAAGCATTTTTTAAACCACCTCTTAACCACCTGTAAGAAATTGCATACAAAATGCTTTGAAAGGCCTCTGATGATCCCAGCTGAGCCGTGCGATCATCAGAGGCTTTTTAAAAATACTTTTAAAAGCATTTTTTTGTCGGAAGAGGTTGTAGAAAAAATGCTTTTAAAAGCAAAAAAAAAAAAAAAGCCTCTGATGATCATGCGGCTTAGCTGGGCATGGTGGGGGGGGGCAGGGATTTTTGCTACCGGTTCTCTGAACCACCCGCTGCCATCGCTACCTGATCAGGCGATCCGGTCCAAACTGGGATCATTTCACCCCTGACTCTGGGGGATGGTAGAGGACAGGAAAGCCTGGAGGAATATTGTCCACGGGGTCACAATGGGTCAGACATGACTTAGCAACTAACAACAACAACAACTGCATTCTAATCACTGCGCCACCATGGCGCTTGAATGCATCCACTTTTTTACTCTATGATTATGGAGCAAACTTGGATCAATGAAGTGAACTGTTTAGTCTTAAAGAACAAGGCAAAATGCGTTGCTATGCAGCTAAGTCACATATACAAATAACTTGTTAAATTACAGCACATTCTTTATAAATGTGTTCTCTGCTCCTTGCAAAGGAACTGAGCTCCGGCGGATCGGTTGTGACCAATTGGCACTCTCTTGGTTGAACCTTACAGAACCTGGATTCCTTCTTGAACAGATGACTCATCCAGCAGTGAATAGCGATTGTTCTATGAAACAAACAGTATCACCACTTATAAAAGTACAAAGACTGAGAAACAATTGAGGTGCAAATAACTGTAGTTTGCCAGTACACCGAGTATCTCTTTCTGGCTTTTTAAAAATTCTTGCTTATCCCTAGCCTAAGACTTGGTATTTGAAGTAGATAATACAGGTAGCCCTCAACTTACGACCACAATTAAACTCAAAATTCCCGTTGTAAGTGAAACATTGTTACGTGAATTTTGCCCCAATTTACAACTGTTCTTGCTACAGTTCTTAAGTGAATCTCTGAAGTTGTTAAGTTAGTAACACAGTTGTTAAGTAAATCTGGCTTCCCCGTTGACTTAGCTTGTCAGAAGGTCACAAAAGGGGATCACATGACTCTGGGACACTGCAACCATCATAAATATAAACCAGTTGCCAAGCATCCAAATGTTGATAATGTGACTATGGTGATGCTGCAGGGGTGGGATTCTGCTGGTTCAGTCCGGTTCGGAAATACCAGTAGCTCCGATGATCAGCTGTGAGCGAACTGGTTTGCTCTGACAATCAGCTGCACCGCCTGCCCGCCCCTGTGCTATACGTACCTTCATTTCCTTTGTTTGAAGCCCAGCTGATTGGCGCGGCAGTGCAGATTGCTGCACCTCAGCTGTTTTATCACCGGAGCTGCAAAAGAAGGTGCTGTTTTCAAATGTATTGCATGTGCGGGGATCGCCTGTTTGGCGCGCAAATGAGCTCACAAAGCGAACCGGTGGTTACAATGGTTGAATCCCACCATTGAGATGCTGCAATGGTCATAAGTGTGAAAAATGGTCACGAGTCACTTTTTTCAGTGCTGTTGTAACTTTGAGCGATCACTAAACGAACAATTGTAAGTTGAGGACTATCTGTATTGGATATGTAAAAGCAAGCAATGTAAAGAAAAGGAATATAACCAGCCAGTAATATTTGAGTCATTAGTGTTTATTTTTAAATTAAGAACAGCAATGTGTGATTCTCTCTTTCATCGAAAGAACTTGAATAGTTGGTCTGCATTTTGTCTGTGCATTAAATTGCTGCATTTTTTTTCAGGGTTTCTACTATGATTTGGACAAGGTAAGAAATTGTCTTGGCAATGGCTGCAATGTAACTCTAACATACTCCTCCTTAACTCTTTTTTATTACCTGTTTTTCTTGACTATTTTTCTTCTTGTAAGATAGTTGGTCTCTGGACATATACTATGTTGTTTTCAGGAATCACACCCTATGTATCTGGAATACATTATTCAGGTTTCCATTTATGAATTTAATATGCTTGATTCATTCAATGTGAGGAAACATCTGTTAGAAATGGAATTTTAGTGTTAAAAGATAGAAGGAAACAATAGGGACTTAATACAGTGAAGTCAAGAAAAGGAGGCACATCTTTAAATCAAATATCTTATGATCTTTGATCAGCTTTAAGCCTCATTTTATAAATACTGCAATATTGATCCAAATTTATCTGTGTGGTAATGTTTTTTTTCCCCTTTTTGGTTAGCTTTATGATCAGGAAAATTGATTTTTAGGATTCTAGGCTACACAATAGAAGCCCATAATAATATTATTAATATTAATATTATTCACATAATAATATAAAACCTGAGTTTTAGATTTGATATGAAATCCAATAGTTGACTTATTATTTATTAGATTTTTATCCTACCTTTATTACTTTATAAATAACTCAAGGCAGTGAACATGCCTCATTACACCTTTTCCCCACAACAACAACTCTGTGAGGTGGGTTGGGCTGAGAGAGAGAGAGTGACTGATTGAAAGTCACCTAGCTAGCTTTCATGCTTATGGTGGCGCTAGAAGTCACAGTCTTCCAGTTTCTAGGCAGCACCTTAGCCGCTCTACGAAACTTCCCTCTCCAGACTCTTCTTCCGTTTGTGTGTTGTGACATCCCACCACAACCACCTAGGACTGGGAAGTAAAAATAATACATTCCAGGCAGTGGCATATCACTTCTGAATTAAAATAGAAAAAAACCTTCATATGTCCGTGTAGACCAAAAGATTCTAGCGTGACTTAAAGCAGGGGTCTCCAACCTTGGCAACTTTAAGCCTGGAGGACTTCAACTCCCAGAATTCCTCAGCCAGCTTTGATTTGCTTTCTGGGAATTGAAGTCCACCAGGCTTAAAGTTGCCAAGGTTGGAGACCCCTGACTTAAAGGACTATTTTATCCCATTAAAGTTCCAATGTTATTTATTTATTTTATTTTTATTTTATTTCGAATTTATATACCGCACCTTATCCCGAGGGACTCAGGGCGCTGTACAGCCAGATAAAAACATACAATACAAACATTAAAAACAATTAAAAGAATATATATTAATTTGGCCCCAGTTTAAAATGACAAACCAATTAAAAATATTTAAAAATATGTTAAGCCAGCCCGGCTTGCTGAAAAAAAAAAGTTTTAAGGGCACGGCGGAAGGCACCGAGGTCTTGGATTCTCCTTATCTCTGGGGGCAGCTGGTTCCATAGGGTAGGTGCCCCCACAGAGAAGGCCCTCCCCCTGGGGGTCACCAGCCTACATTGTTTGGCTGATGGCACCCCGAGGAGGCCCTCTCTGTGGGAGCGCACGGGTCGATGGGAGGTTGTCGGTAGCAGCAGGCGGTCTCAAAGATAACTAGGTCCTATGCCATGGAGCGCTTTAAAGGTGGTAACCAACACCTTGAAGTGCACTCGGAAGACCACTGGGAGCCAGTGCAGCTTGCGCAGGAGCGGTGTTATGTGGGAGCGCCATGCAACTCCTGTAATTACCCACGCGGCCGCATTCTGGACCAGTTGGAGCCTCCGGGTGCTCTTCAAGGGGATCCCCATGTATTGACGCTTATTGCTATTGATTCACAAACCTTTGAAGCAGGGGTGGGTTCTACTTACCTTTACCACTGGTTCACAACGGGATCGCTTCACTTGCGTGCGCACCTTCCTTCTCTGTGTGTGCCTTGCTTCTGCACATGCGCATAAACATCTGCACATGCGCAGATCGCTGATGACGACATCCGGGGTGATGGGTGAGGCCTCCTACTAGTTTTACTACCGGTTCTTGTGAACCGGTCCGAACCGGGGGCAACCCACCATTGCTTTGAAGCATTATGACCACTAGTTATCTCTATGTATGGCACTGAGTATCCCAGGGACAATTTTTTTAGTCCTTTGGATGCTTTTTTTGGTCACTGCCTCCTAGGTCAAGTGTAGCTCCCCCCACCCCCCGTTGCTTATATCCATTGAAATAATGCTCTTGTAAATAAGAGCACGTATTTATTTTCCAAATATGCATGCTACTAGGTCTTCATGACTTATGTGCTCTTCCCAGGTATTTAAATACTATAAAAGCATCTATAGAATTGATTGATTGATTTGGTCACCACACAATAAAAAAGATGTTGAGACTCTAGAAAAAGTGTAGAGAAGAGCAACCAGGATGATTAGGGGACTGGAGCTTAAAACATATGAAGAACAGTTACAGGAACTGGGCATGGCTAGTCTAGCGAAGAGAAGGACCAAGGGAGACATGATAACAGTGTTCCAATATCTAAGGGGCTGCCACAGAGAGGAAGAGGTCAAGCTATTCTCCAAAACATCTGAAGACCAGACAAGGAATAATGGATGGAAACTGAACAAGGAGAGATTCAACCTGGAAATAAGGGGAAATTTTCTGACAGTGAGAGCAATTAACCAATGGAATAGCTTGCTTTCAGAAGTTGTGGGAACTTCAACAGTGGTACTATGTACTATCAAGCTGTGTTGTCCTCTTGAAATCACATAGGTAGATTTTCTCCATGATGATCTGTCCCTAACCTGATCCTTCAGGATCTAGAGAATATCGAAATCAGGGGTGTCAAACTCAAGACCCAGGGGCTGGATCCGGCCCACGGGGTGCTTAGATCTGGCCCATGGGGCTGCCCTGGAAACAGCGAAGGACTGGCCCGCAGTGCCTCTGCCAGTGAAAATGGAGCTTGGGAGGACTGTGTGCAGCCCTCCCGAGGTCCGTTTTCACTGGCAAAGGGTTGCAAGAGGCTATCGCAGCTGAAAACTGAGCTCATGAGGGCTGCAGGTGGCACTCCAAGCGCCGTTTTTTTGGCAGAGGGTTGCAGGAGGCCGTCACAGCCGAAATAGATCTTGGGAGCCCATTTTTGCTGGCAGAGTGCTTGGGCCACCACAGGTCTCCCGATATGAGTGACATCGAGCTGGCCACACCTACCCTGGCCACACCCACCCCTGCCCTCCAAGGTCAAACACAACCCTGATGCGGCCCTCAATGAAATTGAGTTTGACACCACTGATCTAGACCATAATAAAGCATTAGCATGAAATAATAACAACTTCTGGGATATGCAATGTGATGGAAAGCCCTAATTCCTTTCTTTTTTAATCTTACTTGGCCAGTGATAGTGATAACAAATGTAATCAATTCTTGCAGATAAGGAACATCCTGCATTGCCTAAACAAGGTTTTCTGCTTTATGAAACTACATTCTATAATAAAAAATCAATGTAATATCTGGAATTGTATAAATAACATCTGGTTCATCTTTTTCTGTTCTTTCAAAGCAAATCCGCTCTGTTGAAAGATATATTAGGAAACTGGAATTTCAAATAAGCAAGGTAAGTTTGGTTTCTCTGACTGCAAATTTATAAACAAATCTTGACAGTATTTTTTTTCCCACACTAGAATTGATTGTGGGGAAATTGTATTAGGTGCTTTCCGAAAACTTTTAATAAATTCCCTTGTATAAGGACAGGCCTTTTCTTCTCAATGTCTGCATTCAGACTGATTATTGAACCCAGCCCATGTTTAGCCTGTAAAACCAGTTTTCTACCATGCCTGCTAACTTTCTTGAGTAAGGAAAAAGAAGAAGCCACAACTCATTGTGTTTTATGACTGTAAAAGGTGAAATCACATGCCCATCACCTTCATGCTTGAAGGGTTCAACCAGGGGTGGGTTCTAAATTTTTTTACTACTGGTTCTGTGGACGTGGCTTATTTTGTGGGTGTGGCTTGGAGGTCATGTGACTAGGTGGGCGTGGCTAGCTGGTCAGAGTCATTTCTGGAAGGTCCTGGATCTGTGTTTATGAGAAATAGTCTCATTCAAAGAATGGCACTCTTCCTATCATGCTTAATTCAGAATTCTTGTTTCACATTTCACAATTCATTTAGATCAGAAATATTTTTGTAGAAACCTGGATTTATCTATGTACTACTAAAATTCTCATAACTCTAACCTTTAAGTGGGCAAAACAGAGTAACCATAGTGCAACATTTTTTAAACCAAGTTACCTTAAATGGGCTAATTTACAGAATGCTTGCAAACCCTGGGACCCATTGACTGCTGTGGAATTGAAATTTAGCAAATTTGTGCTTGCTTCAAACCTGCATGATTGTGGTGCTGTGCCACCCAGAGATTCAGTGGATCGGTCCTGCCCTAGACTTCTGGAGGCTGGATGGACTGGCCCCTCTTTTAGCTGCTGGAGATCAGTTAGACCAGTTCCACCCTATCCCTCTGGAGGCTGGTCATACCATTGGCTGCCAGCAGGTAGTCATATGCAGTCAAGCCAGCAGGAAGTTGGAAGTTGCTCCTGGTTTTTGTCCTTGGTCATGTCCTTGGCTCTGTTTAGCTAGACAGGGAAATATCTGTGAAAAAGTAGCACGACAGGTCACTAGTCCAGTGTTTTTCTATTGTTTAAATCCTGTAATTATAATGCTCCTTCTGGTGAACCTTTAAGCTATATAAACAATTGTAAATAAAGTTACCATAACTATTACTGAAAAGCAAACATATTTCTAGGATTCTGCTCACATGATAGTGATAGCACTAGCAATAGCACTTAGACTTACATACCACTTTACAGTGCTTTACAGCCCTCTCAAAGTGGTTTACAGAGTCAGCATATTGCCCCCAACAATCTGGGTCCTCATTTTACCGACCTTGGAAGGATGGAAGGCTGAGTCAACCTTGAGCCTGGCAAGATTCGAACTGCCAAACTGCTGGTAATCGGCAGTCAGCAGAAGTAGCCCTGTTTGACTATTTCTTTTTTGTTTGATGTATTGTTTTAAATAAATAAAAATTAAAAAAAATTAAATTAAAAAAAAAAAAAGAAGTAACCCTGCAGCACTGCATTCTAACCACTGCACCACCACGGCTCTTAATGGTACTCCAGAGATCAAATAGAAGGAACTCACTTGAAATGGCTGATAGAAGTCCATATGTGGGTCTCAAGTCTGAGTCTTACTACCATTATGACTTGATTGAATTATCACAGACAGTTGATCTGGGATATGTATGTGGAACAACTTTTGGAAATATCATGATAATTTTCCACTTAGTAGTAACATATGATGTTACATATATTTGGTATAGATGCACACACAAACATGCACATATCAATATATATATATATGCTCTTTTCTTAAAAAGGTAGAAGAATTATATGAAGCATACAGCATCCAGTGTAGACTGCGAGATGGTGCTTCAAATATGAAACATGCTTTTTCCTTGTCTCCTTCCACTAAAGCATCAAGAGAGAGCCTGGTAGAACTCTACAAAAATCTCCAAGAATGTACAGAGGTACCACTATTTTTACATTTCTTGATTCTACTTTAGGTTAGATATCAAAAGTCATTATGTGGTGTGGCTCGCCAGCGGCCAGCAGAGCTGGTAGCAGACTTGGACAGTGAGGAGGTTGGGGAGGATCATGGGCCAGTCCTGGAGTCTGGGGAAGGCTCTGATGAGTGCTCTGCGTTAGAGGCAGAGATGGGGTCAGGGCTGTCCGACAGTTAGACAGTCAGCTACCATCGGAGTCGGAGATAAGTGGAGCTGAAGAACAGCTGGATCCTGTTCCCGATGTGCGCATATGCAGAGCTGCCAGGAAAAGGGAACAGTTAAGGAACAAGGGCCGACTCCGGAGTAAAGGCACAGGTGGATGGTGAATGGCCCCTCCCATAGGGAATAAAGAGGTGCGAAAGAGGAGTGGAGTTTGCAGGAGACAATTAGAGACTCCTTGCCAAGTATTTTCTTGTACAGCATTGTGTTTGGAAGATATCGGCCTGGCAGCTCTCCAAGCCTGATAAGGTTTGTGGTTGTAAATTTACCCTGGAAAGACTGTTTGCCAGGACTTTGCTGGATGTGAATGAGAGGAATTCACATTAGTGTAATAAAAAGGACTAGATTTTGTCGGGACTAGATTCATTGTGAATGAGGAAGAAACAATTATCCAACAAAGTCTTATTTGGAAGTAATCTGTGGATTACTGTGGATTTCTATCAATCTAACCATTATAATTACCTTTACCCCCAAATCTTGGGCACTGTATTTTGATGAAGTTGATGAGAAATGTGTTAAAGTCCTTTTCCCCTTGTTTCCACGAACAGATTTAATCACGCCTTAATCAGTGTTACTCTTAACAATTCATGGGAAAGATAGAGCACATAAAGCATTTTTGAAGCTTTTTAATGGGGCCTGCCAACAAAGAGAATACAAGGCTACCCAGATAAACTAAAAAAAAAAAAATCCTTTTGAGGACATTTTTTTAAAAGTGTTTTACACATGTGATAATGAGATGTGTTAAATGATAATGAAATGGGTTATTATCCTTCCATGAAAGGACACCTCTCTATTTTTGGTTGCATATCAGCCAACTGTTCTCTTTTGTACTCTCTCAAAATTAGGGAGTCAATTCAAATAGCCAATAATCATGTTGAGAGAGTGAAAAGAACAGGTCCTTTTACTGCCAGAAGACGCTCAGTCTCATTGCTCTGTATTTATCTTTCAGGATATGTGTTTGATTGAGGGGACCCTTGAAGTACATTTGGGGGAGTTTCACTTGAAGATGAAAGGTGAGCTGAATTGTTGAAATGCTTGGAAGGAGCTGATGTATGACGTTAGTTATGAAGAATAAATCATAGATTCAGAAAGATACACATCTTTGCTCTAACACAATGGTGTCAAACTCAAGACCCGTGAGCCAGAACCGGCCCACAGAGTGCTTAGATCTGGCCCAAGGGGCCATCCTGGAAACAGTGAAGTACTGGCCCATGGTGCTTCTGCCAGTGAAAACGGAGTTTGGGAAGGCCGCGTGCAGCCCTCCCAAGCTCCATTTTCACTGGCAGAGGGTTGCAGGAGGCCGTCACAGCTGAGCTTGTTTTCACTGGCAGAGTGTTCAGGACACCATAGGCACCCCTGACATGAGTGACATCGAGTTGGCCACGCCTACCCCGGCCCCCTAGGTCAAACACAACCCTGATGCGCAGGGGTGGGTTCTACTTACCTTTACTACCGGTTCGCAAAGGGGCCGCATGCATGCAGAAGCTTCCTGATGATGTTGGGTTGTGGGGGGGGCGGAGCCTCCTGCTCGTTTTACTACCAGTTCTTGCAAACCGGTCTGAACTGGGGGCAACCCACTACTGCTGATGCGGTCCTCAATGAAATCGAGTTTAACACCCTTGCCCTAACATAAGAAAAGGTGCTGATCATAATGGGGTGCTTCTCAGTTAGACTTTTATTATGGATTTGCCTTGGCTTCATGAGTTACCAATAAGGAGAATGTTTGTAGCTCAGGATTGAAATGAGGAGTCCTTGGTGCTCTCTGAGCTTGGTTGTTTTCTTGCAGATGTTTCATTACCCAAACAAAATAACTTCATCAGTGCAGGGAACAAAAAGACCAAAACACCTCCCCGTCAGCAATCAGCATCCAGCTGAGCATAGATTAACTCCAGAATTAACAACAGACTACCAATTCTTCAACGCTTGCATTTCATTCACCAAAAAATGGAATGCAAACACTTTTAAAAATTTTGGGTTAGCACCTTTTGCAATTTGGCACGAAGTCCTTCCCTGTTTTCCACCACTACACACTGCATATATAGTAGGGACATACTGTACATTTGAAAAGATTTTCTTGATAGCCATCAATTTTAATATTGTCTCACTTATTAGTTTATGCCGAAGCACATCCTTAAGAAGTGGCCTGTGACTGGCAACAGTAATTCATTTATATCTTAAACATACAATTTAGTATGCTTCACAGTTCAAGTTTTCCTTGGTCAATAAAACTCACATCTCAGTTGTCAGTTTCATTGTAAAAAGAGGAATTCATTTTCAGTATTGGCGCCAACTGTAACCAGTGTTCCTTCTAGCTTTGCTTTGGCCAGATCTACTTGTAAAAGTTCAACATTCTTCAGCAACTAAAGGAATGCCTTCTGACCTTGAGATATTCTTAACTGGCATTTAGATTTCTGTAAATTTTTTGAGCCACGTTCAGTGGTGGGATTCAGCCAGTTCGTATTACTTCGGAAGAACCAGTTGTTAACTTTCTGAGCAGTTGGCAAACTGGTTGTTGGAAGAAATCATTAGGGCAGAGAATCGGTTGTTAAATTCCTTGAATCCCACCACTGGCCACGTAGATTACCCTGGAATTCATTCCTGTCTTTGAAACTTATCAGCTGGGTGGATCCTATCCCAGTGCATATGCTCTTGTTGGGATCTTAGGCAGAATCACTGACAGCATTAAGGCATCTTTCCATATCAAAACATTAATTATACAAATGATGCACGCTGGGCCTTCATTTCATGAACCAAAACAGATCTATTGTAATGATGGGCTTGATCATACATTTTTGTACTTTGTATGAAAATGAAGTTGGTATGGGCTACGATCAGGAGGATTCATTTGCTGGAGAGGTGTTGAAAGAGAAGCTTTGGTATTAGCATTATTTGCTGGACCCCAAAAAATTCTTGCGGCATTTAGTTGAAGGGATGATTATGTATTTGGGGATAACCAACAATTTATGTTACTGGTTTCTTTTCTCAGAATCTATGAATTTAGGTTCTTACTTGTTTTCCTTGTGTTTTTTATCCAGGATTGGTGGGTTATGCTCGTCTCTGTCCAGGTGACCAATATGAGGTATGGTATTTAGCAAATCATTGAAAAGAGATACTTGGGTATTATTAGTGAGAGGTCATTTGTTCCCTTGGCATCTCTAGGTAGAAAGAAAAATCTACTGCCTGAAATCCTATATAGTTATAAATAGTCCACGTAGACAAGTTTTTTTCCCCAAATCTCTCCACCCTCCAACTTCCTCCTGCTTCTTTCCCAAATATCTAGGACCAATCAGCTAGCCTATTTTTAAACATGGATCTTGCCCTCTTCAAGAGACATGATAGCAAGGAGCCTGAGTGGCGTAGGAGGCTAATGCCTCCTACTAAGGCAGCATTTAACATCCCGCTGCCTGCAATTACTGCGAGTTCAATTCTCACCAGGCTCAAGGTCGACTCAGCCTTCCATCCTTTCTAAGGTGGGTAAATTGAGGACCCAGTTTGTGGGGGCAATAAGCTGACTTTGTATAAAATATACAAAAGTATGAAGGCTATTGCTTAACGCATTGTAAGCCGCCCTGAGTCTCCGGAGAAGGGCGGCATATAAATCAAATTTAAAAAAAAAAATGTTTCAATATCTAAGAGGCTGCCACAAAGAAGAGGGTGTCAACCTATCCTCCAAAGCATCTGAGACTAGGACAAGAAGCAATGGGTGGAAACTAATCAAGGAGAGAAGCAACTTAGAACTAAGGAGAAATTTCCTGACAGTTAATCCAATTAATCAGTGGAACAACCTGCCTCCAAAAGTTGTGAATGCTCCAATACTGGAAGTTTTTAAGAAGATGTTGGATAACCATTTGTCTGAAGTGGTGTAGGGTTTCCTGCCTAAGCAGAGGGTTGGACTAGAAGACCTCCAAGGTCCGTTCCAATTCTGTTATTCTATATAAGACAAACTCTAGACCCATGTTTAGAAATAATTTAGCTGACAAACACAAATATGCAGCACTTGGTTCATTGGGCAACTTAACAGATACAGGTAGCCCTTACCATACAGTCAGGTCCAGAAATATTGGGACATCGACACAATTCTAACATCTTTGGCTCTATACACCACCACAATGGAGTTGGGATGAAACAAACACAATGTGTGTTATCTTCAGACTGTCAGCTTTAATTTGAGGGTATGTACATCCAACTCAGGTGAACGGTGTAGGACTTACAGCAGTTTGTATATGGTTCAGTTGAGATGGGCATATGCGGAACTGATTGGGGTAGATTGTAGGGGTGACACCGAAATATAATTTCATCATATTTTATTTATCTATATATTAAATTATTGTATTTTATTCCAATTTCATTTTAAACTGTATTCTATTCCAATTCCATTTTAAATTGTTTTTATCAGATTTTAGTAATAATTTGTGTCTGGAACTCTGCACTTTGATATGGGCCAAGGATAATCAATAAAGTAAACTAACTAACTTCTCTATCGGCTCTTTCCACTCAAGAGGGAAACTACCATTAGCATGTAATATGGAGTGCACTCTGCCTGTAAATTGGCTGAGGTTCTTTTTTTTAATGCATTTTGCTGATCCAACAAGAATAAGGTTCCCATCAATTCCTGCAAACAACAACAACAACAATAACAACAAGCCCAAATGCATTTATGATAGATGTTCCTGTCTCTTGTTTGTATATCGCTGTAGGTGTTTATACGGCTGGGGCGCCAAAAGTGGAAAATAAAAGGCAAGATTCTGACAGATGACAGTCAAACTTGGGATGAGGAAGAAAAAGTTTTCATACCCAGCCTCCATGAGAATTTTGAAATCAAGGTAAGAATGTGTATGAATGGAAGCTTTCTTTCAGTAGCCAGAAGGGGTATCTGCAGGATATAGTAAAAAAAAAAAAAAAAAAAAAAGGCAAGATAATAACTATGATGGTGTGGTCAAAGCCTCACCATTTTACAATGTAAGATCCACATAAATCATGCAGAGTTTTGATTGTATCGTTGGAGCTGCCATCTTGACTTTTATGACCTTATTCTCTGGTTATCGTAGCTAGTATTGCTAAGTACAGTATTTGGCCAAGGCAAATCCTTTGTAAACATGTTTTTCCATATCCTAAAGAAAAAAATTGTAGGCATGAAAGACAGGACTAGTGTGAACTACCAATTAAACCAGTGGTGAAATCCAATTTTTTTTACTACCGGTTCTGTGGGCATGGCTTGGTGGGTGTGGCAGGGGAAGGATACTGCAAAATCTCCATTTCCAGCCCACTCCAGGGCCAGCCAGAGGTGGTATTTTCCGGTTCTCTGAACTGCTCAAAATTTCCACTACCAGTTCTCCAAACTGCTCAAAATTTCTGCTAAGGTTCTCCAGAACCTGTCAGAACCTGCTGGATTTCACCCCTGAGTTAAACTGATTTGTTGCTAATCATGTCTAAGAGATGTGGTGGTGCAGTGGTTAGAACGCAGTACTGCAGCTACTTCTGCTGACTGCTGGATGCCAGCAGTTTGGCAGTTCGGGTCTCACCAGGCTCAAGATTGACTCAGCCTTTCATCCTTCCAAGGTCGATAAAATGAGGACCCAGATTGTTGGGGGCAATATGCTGACTCTTTAAAGCACTTAGAGAGGGCTGTAAAGCACTGTAAAGCGGTATATAAGTCTAAGTGCTATTGTTATGCACAAGAATCTACTCAACTAACCACTGGACTATCTTGGCATTAGATAAAGGCCAAGGAAATCCAAGAGGAATTTGACTTAATCTGTTTGTGGCTATGTAGATACTCTAGGCCAGTGATGCCAAACCTTTTAGACACCGAGTGCCCAAACTGTGCATGCTCGCATGCTCAAAATGAAAGGTGCACGTGTGCGAATGTGTGCAAACATGCACTTGCGCATGCGTGGACATGCGTGCATACACAGCAGAGACCTGAAGACCAGCTGGCCGGTGGGAGGTATTGCATCCCAACACCGGCAGCACGGCAAGAGGCAAGTTCTTTTTCTTTTATGAGTTTCTGTTTCATCGTTTGCAGGGAAACAGAAGCTCATGAAAGAAACACTATGGAGATCTGACCTGGGGCTTCGGCGTGCGTGCCAGCAGAGAGGGCTCTGCGTGCCACCTCTGGCACACGTGTCATAGGTTCACCATCATGGCTCTAGGCTGATTCCACTTTTCACTCTGCCCCAGATTCTGCCATTTCTACACTTTTGCAAAATTCTCTGGAAAAATCGTCTTCTTGGAAACTTTTACATTCTGTAAGCAACTGTTGCAACACTGCTTGTTTGCTGGCATCGCTTCTCTTGTGCTGGCAATGTGTTTGTTGGGGGGTAGGCAGAGCTCTGCTGGAAAGCATTCTGGATTCCTCTCCAGCCAAGCTTATGGAAATGTGTTTAAAATGTTCCTTTCTTCTCTACATGATGAGAGGTTAATTGAGATGCACTATGCAAATGTTGTGAGAAAACATGCAGATCTTTCATTGTGCCAATACAGATGAATCATCTCCTCCAAGTTGAAGGGAGAAGTAACAGAACTGGCTTTTCTACTGTTAGGATTCCACATGTAGACACACTGTTTTAAACCATCTTTGGATGAGTCCACATAGCGCCAGCTGATGATTTGCATGTGTGAAATTACTGCCACAAAGAGTTTTCTTGTCATTTCAAAACTTAAGTTTCATTAGAAACAGGTTGCACATCAAAGCGGTAGAAGTCCTTTGAGTTATGTAAATGCATGTATGAAGTTTGTTTATAGTTAATTTTACATGTTGACTTACAAATTGAGGGGATGAGAACCCTCATCCCCTCAATATGTAAGACAACATATAATGAGAATGCTTTTATCATCTTGTTTGGATGCTACATTTTCTGTGCTGGAGTGATCTATAGTTCTTGAGATGTTTCTGATATAAACTCATAGTTTATTAACTTGGTGGCCTTTGACCCAACAAGTATCTTTAACAATGAAGAATGAGAATTGTAGCGCAAAAACATATGGAAAGCTACAGAATTCATCCAGTTATACATTTCTATAGAGTGAGTGTATCCGAAATAAAAAGAAAAATATCAAGTGAAATATTCAAATATTGTAATCTGGTTCACTCATTATGCAAAATAGTGTGATTTCTTTGGTTTGCCTTTATTGTGAATTCTAAATAATGAGTTATGGTTTGGTGTGTTGTGTGAACCCAGCCAACTGTACTTAATTCAATAAACCATGATTAAGCTTATGCAATGTATCAGCCAGATTAGGGTGTAAAGTCAAGTTCCAAATCCAATTGGCCAAATATATGCTCCTTTGCCAACTGGTAGGAATATAACATATCTATGTTTTCTGAAGTAAAAAAAAAATCTCCATCTGAGAGAACAATAGAGTTTTGTTTTGTTTCCTCATCATGATGTCATTTGAGGGTCAGTGTGAATTAATGTATATGATTTTAGTGTTGCTTTTTGCATGGCTTTTATATATGACATGTGACATTGTATGTAGTATTAATTATGGGGTCCTTGGTGTTCTCTGAGTTTAGTTGTTTTCTTGCAGACAAACTAGGTAACATTATCAGTGCTAGTAAGGAATGTGGTTTGCTCATTTTATATTCTAGTGGTTTGCCCTGCCAGTTTTGGTGGAAGTGGTCTTCTTGGTTCCTTGATTGGGCAGCTGCTTACAACCAAGCTCAGGAGTCGACAGTTCAACCCTGAGCTATAAATATTCTCTTCTATCATTAGTGGTAATTAAATCATTTTCCCACTCTACCAGCTTCAGATACAGATTTCATATTTTAGAAGCAACACCCGGATCCATTTGATTGTGGTTTATTTTCTGCAAAGGGAGGGAACATGATGGTTAATAGAGACCTTCTCTTAACTTACTCTCCTCCTTGCTCCCCTCCATTTAGGATTCCAACTGCAGTAGTGATGCTGTATTGTTGACCCTATAAAGGAAGTGCTTAGATTTGAATAATGTCTAGTTTTATAAGGCTATACTGGCTCTTTAGCAGTGGTGAAATTCATTTTTTTTTACTACTGGTTCTGTGGGTGTGGCTTGGTGGACGTTGTGTGGCTTGGTGGGCATGGCAGGGGAACGATACTGCAAAATCTCCATTGACATCTTTCAGAAATGGTGTAGGGTCTCCTGCTTGGGCAGGGGGTTGGACTAGATGACCTACAAGGTCCCTTCCAACTCTGTTTATCTGTTAACCGACCCCACTCCAGGGGAAGGATACTGCAAAATCTCCATTCCCACCCCACTCCAGGGGAAGGATACTGCAAAATCCACATTCCCACCCCACTTTGGGGCCAGCCAGAAGTCGTATTTGCCGGTTCTCTGAACTACTCAAAATTTCTGCTACCGGTTCTCCAGAACCTGTCAGAACTTGCTGAATTTCACCCCTGCTCTTTAGGTAGTTTAGAAATCCTAGTTAATAATGTCTTCCTTGTAGTTCTTCATCTGAGTATTTTTATTCAACCCTTTTTCCTCTGCCAAATATTTGTCAAGGGGGAAGTATGTGAAAAGCTGTTTGACTGATATTATCATATACTTTTTGCAGGTGACAGAACTGCGAGGACTCAGTACGATCCTGGTTGGCATTGTAACATGTGACAGCATCGACTTCTTTACAACTAGGCCTCAAACCATCATTGTGGATATAACTGAACTCGGTACCATCAAGCTACAATTAGAAGTGCTCTGGAAGTAAGAACGCTAATTTGCATGCTGATTGCTGTGTCACACAAAATGTATTTCATAACAAGCAAAATGGGCGGCAACAAAAATAATGTTACCTGCTTGCGCTTGGTAACCCAACGAAAATTGAGTCCAAAAGTGATGAAATCATCTGCTTCTTAAGAAAAAAAATAATTCTTAAGGAAAAAGTATTTTTAAGGGGAGTAAATAGCTGAGAGAAAGCATCGAATCTCCAGATGGTGTTTGAGGTATAGTGTCCATGCACAACAATTTGCATGTTAAGTTTTTATTCCTACATCCAAGTTGCCCATTGGATAACTCATTCTGGCCATGTGTGTATGCATGTGTACAAAGTAGGTGGCGCAAAATATTTCATCAGAGAACATTTTGTCCCACAAACAGGCCTCACTGACCTGAAGGCAGGGCATTCCAAGTCTTCTGAAAGAAATTTGACCTCAAAATGAGTCATTTGTGACCAGATCATGTCATAGGCACCCCCTGTGGACCATGGGCCAGAATACTTTGAGTGGTCCATTTGGAGGTCCAATCTCTTCTGGAATCACTTGTTCTGGACTTGGAACATTCACTTCAGAACATTTTGCACACCCTTAATATGAAGCACTCTTCCAACTGGCAGCGCAACGAATAGAGAATGGAGGAACCCTTACTTTGACTGTTTTTGTTGCATAGCGAATCTAATACTGTATTGAGAAACAAGTGTTGGATTGTGGTTCATATATATTGGCAATGCTCAGTGCCATTAGACTCCATTGCTTATTACAGACCATATTCTGATTTGGTAATGACAGCCAGTCTCTATAAATGTTTCCTCTGCAAAAATGGATGTTTGGGAGGGAGAGTTTGATGCTCCAGCCTTGTGGCCGTTTTCATTATTTTCTTTTTAAAAACTTCCAGTCTTCACTGTTGGTGATAATTCAGCCAGCTACTCTGTCTGTATGGCTCCATTTTAAAACGCACTTTTGGGGAGTGGTTGGATGTTCAGTTTTCTAGTTCTGTACAAATAAATGAAAAAAAAAGGTATCTGAAGATCTGGTAGGGCAGTAAAGAAGAGTTTTTAAGACATCACAGTAGATATTTGGCTAGTGCCCCAAAGGAAAGGAAGGGAAGAACTGTATATATATTTTTCTTGGCTTTTCTGTATTGAAAACGCCAAAGCATTAAACATGCATTTAGTCATGGCATCTCTTTAGCCAGGTTTGTCTCTTCAAATATTCCTGACGAAGATTATGAATGGTTGCCATGCTTTAAAACTTTTTTAAAGAATTTTTTTCTTCATCATTTATGATCACTTATGAAAAGATGGAGTTGAAACTCTAAAATTGTCCTAGAAATATTGTTGTCACATATGAGGTCACATTTTCTTTCACAGTGGCATATTTTAAAAGTTCCTTTCAGTAAAACCATGGGATTAATCTCATACTCTTTTTAAAAGTTGTTTTAGAAAGAAGCAGTTATTAGACTGTTTTGCAGCCTTCCTTTTTTATGTATTTAGTTTTAGAAAGCTCTATTTGGAAACCTCTATTCAGAGGTTCTGGGCATCTTCAGAGGTTCTGGGTATGCCTACAGTATATCATTATGGATGATTACAGTAAATCTTTGTCTCTCAGGACCTAGTCAGAGTAGCTCACATTTTAGAATAGAATAGAACAACAGAGTTGGAAGGGACCTTGGAGGTCTTCTAGTCCAACTCCCTGCTTAGGCAGGAAACCCTACACCACCTCACACACTTCAAATCAAATAAAAATCCAGAAAATATTTAGACAAGTGATTAGAGCAGGGTTTTTTTTTAATAGAAAAAGGTGTTTTTTTTAAAAAAAAAACTAATACTTTTGTATTTTCCATTAGTCATTTTGAGCACTCTTTTTTTATTCAAAGATGAAATACAAAGGTGTAAATAAAAAGACAATAGAATTCACCAGTTGTATGTCCTGATACTTTCTAATTTAAGGTAAAATCATATCCCCCTCCATGCAGCCTTCCCAAAAGAGGATCTAGATCAGTGTTTCTTAATCTTGGCAACTTTAAGCTGCATGGATCTCTCAACTTCCAGAATTCTCCAGCATGCTGGCTGGAGAATTTTGGGAACTGAAGTCCAAATTTTCAAGCTGCCGAAATGGAGAAAAACTGATTAAAGTATCATTAAAATGGAGGCTCAGGTTCCTCTCATGTTATAGTTCAAGTGCAATCTGATAGTTTCAGCAATGCATCTCTCTGTTAGCTCCTATCTGACTTAGCTTCAAAATTGATAGAGGCTGTATTTGAAGCATTTATTGCAGACAAGCTTCTTGTCTGTTGGCAGGAGAAATATCCTGTGTGAGAGAATTGTGTGTAGCCAAGAACAGAACAACTTTAATTGTTTCTGATTCCCCCTTTTGGTGCCAGAAGTTTCCACAGTGTCCTTTTGCAGTGAGTCTTGATTCATTTGGCATTTGCCAACCCTTTCCCGCTATTAGCTCTTTTGATTCAGAAGAGTTTTCTGCCCCCTCTCCTAAAGTTCAACTTATTTAGAAGGACAGTTTCCATTCTGATCTTGCACAAGGACATCTGTGGTAACTTTAGCACTTCCTGGCTCAACTTCTTAATGCTGCACATGGAGAATGGGCATATTTAGAAAGTCTCTAAACTGGCCTTTAGACTGAGAATCTCCATAGACAAAAAGCAGGTCATGTTTGAATTTTAAAAAAATGTTTTTAAAGGTTCGGAGTAGGAACATTAAACCTCTCATTTCCACCCCTAGAAAATTCCCAATTTTACTTTTTCATCCTTAAAGGAGTTGCATCAGGGTCAAATTAAGACAACCCCCCTCCCCACCATGCATTTGTGATTTGAGAAACATGATCTTTGGGAACTGTACATATTTGGAAGTACACATTTGCATACATCAATTCTCCATTTAGTGGCTTGTGTCATCTTCACAGGGTCTTTTATCTATTGATGAAGCAGTACAACCCCCTGTCCTCATCAAGCTTGGATTAGACCTTGGATTAGCTTGGATTAGTGGTAGAATTCAATTTTTTTTACTACTGGCTCTGTGGGCGTGGCTTGGTGGGCATGGCTTGGTAGGCGTGGCAGGGAAAGAATACTGCAAAATCTCCATTCCCACTCCATTCCAGGGGAAAGATATTGCAAAATCTCCATTCCCACCCTACTCTGGGGCCAGCCAGAGGTGGTATTTGCTGGTTCTCCGAACTACTCAAAATTTCTGCTACCGGTTCTACAGAATCTGAACCCCCTGCCTCTTTGGCATTGCATGTGAAGGAACATATGCATCTGCCATTTGGAGAAAGTTGCATAGCTGTTGCATTTATATAGTTGTGAAGGTTCTGGCTAGGGGGCGCTCAGGCACCAAAGCACAGAACAGGAAGTTGGATTAACCTATCAGCACACAGGATGTGCACCTCTGTACAATGCTTAATTTGGAGTTGGGAAGTGTGCATGTCAGCCCATCTGCAGCAGAGGTGGGTTTCAGCAGGTTCTGACCAGTTCTGGAGAAGCGGTAACGGAAATTTTGAGTAGTTCGGAGAACTGGTAAATACCAACTCTGACTGGCCCCGCCCCCATCTATTCTCTGCCTCCCGAGTCCCAGCTGATCGGGAGGAAATGGGGATTTTGGAGTAACCTTCCCCTGGAGTGGGGTGGGAATAGAGATTTTACAGTATCTTTCCCCTGCCATGACCAACAAGCCATGCCATGCCACGTCCACTAAGCCACACCCACAGAACCGGTAGTAAAAATTTTTTGAAACCCACCATTGGTCTGCAGCCATTTGCAACCTATGCTTATCCATCAGCCCCTTCTCAGCGTAGGTAGGCTGTGACACCTACGTACAGTTGTGGGCAACTCTAAATCAAGTATTACTCTTGTTTTGGCACAGAGATGATTGGATGACTCTAGAAGGTGCGCTAAGTTGCTAATCAGGACATAATTGTAGATAGCATTCTCTGTTCAGCATCTATCAAATATATTGATGGCCTCCTCAGAATCCCTGGTCATGATGACCAGAATACAAGGGAAAGGCACTCTCAACAGGTCTGGGGAATGCGAACTGGGAAAGGCTGTTCTAAGGTTACCACAAAATACTGATCTGTCAAATTGGGTAAATTATGCGTGTGAAAATACATTTGGATGATATAGTGAATCTATAATAAATAAGATCACCAGTAGGATTTCTGCCATGTAATTTATGGTGGAAAAAATAACACGAAGATTTTTATTTTATCTTTTGTCTTCTGGAAAGAAACATTTTAAGACTGAAATAGCTTTTCTGAGAAATCTTTTTTGCTGAAGTTTTGTTGTGTGAGCTAATACCTCCTAGGAAAATTAAAAGCCATTTCTCTCATATTCAGACTTTGCTCAATCTGTTGATCTTTTGCAGAGTGGATGCATAAAGGGTCTTGAATAATAACGACAATAATAACAACCACAATCCCCAAATGCGTTGGCTTTTCTTGGCAGTTTGCTTGCTTGTTCTTATTCATGCAAATGTTTTTGGTGTAATAAGCAATCTTGTCTTCTCTTTTCATAAATATCTTTTAAGGCTAAAATAACATAATTATAAAACATGTAATGCTTATGTGTGCTTTTATTCATTCAAAGTGAATCGAGGACTCTTCAAAGATTAGATACAGGCAGTCCTTGAGTTACAACTACAATTGAGCCCAAAATTTATGTTACTAAGTGAAATATTTGTTAGGTGACTTTTGCCCCATTTTATAACTTTTCTTGCTACAGTTGTTAAGTGAATCATTGCATTTGTTAAATTAGTAACATGGTTGTTAAGTGAATCTGGATTCCCCATTGACTTTGATTGTCAGAAGGTCGCAAAAAGTGATCAGATGACCCATTGCAACCGTCCTAAATATGAACCAATTGCCAAGCATCTGAATTTTGATCACAAGACCATGGGGATGCTGCAAAGGTTGTAAGTGTGAAAAAATACTCATTGGTCACTTTTTTTCAGTGCCGTTGTGTTTGTATTTGAGTTTGAG